ACTGGAACAACTCCTCCTCCTCCCCCCTCTGGCTTCTTTTCAACCTTCGCGAATGTCCTTGCGTCCTGCCACTTGGGCCCGCACCTGCCAATAGAACCCGCCCGCCCCCTCCTCTCGATTCCTCCACCCTCCTCCAGCCTATCCACATCGCTCTCACCTGATTTTATGCCCTCCTACCGTCCTCGACTAACTCACCAACGGCTTGGAAGCTTGTTCTAGACGTTGTCCATATTTCCCACCACCTACACCCACACACACACACACACACACCACCACCTACCACCTACCACCTACCACCCCTCCTACTGCTCAATCAAGTTATGTGCACCATTGTCTCCGCCCTTACGGCTTTGGTCTGCCTGGATCTTTACTTGGTTTTTTCCTGACTCGACCTTTGCGCAATTCACCTACATCCTCAGTCCCCAATATTCTCCCCTCCCCCTCCCCATTCCTACAACCTATATCGGCTGCTACCGCTACCGTGGAGACTCTGTTGTTTATCCTCTCCGCGTTATCTCGATAACGGTTTCTCCCGCTCCGAGGTGCTTTGTCCGTTCGCAGCATGTGGCTGGCCTCCATTCGCCCTCCGACTACTCTTTTGACCGTGTAACGTCGTGTTGTACAACAGGAAACCATTGATTCGCAAGTGCGGCGACCACCCAGTGGTGTCTCTGCGGTTCTGCATTCTCAGGCTGCGAATCTCCTGGCCCTTTTGGCAAAATCGGTCCCTCAATCTGGGCTGTTTCCGTGTTTGCCTTCTCTAATCGTTATTTTTCCACGCCCTGGTCCCGGCTTTCCCGCGCCCGCTTGGTGCTCACCGAATTTTTCGAGTCCTAGTTTCCCCCTCTTCGTGTTTGCCTTCCACCGACTCTTATCCTGGTTCCCTCTCGGACCTCCTGATTTCTGAAAGGGTTGTCAGCACATCTCTGACGCAGCAGAAGTCATGGCGGCGGAGTCCGAGAGGTCACCTCCTCCCCACGGGACCGCTGGCGGATCTAGAGTGGCCCAAACTGATGAGGCTGCCGCTGCTCTTGCAGCGCCTCGTCGATCTGCCAGTGAGAGCGACATGATGGAAGTGCCACGTTCAACCTTTAGATCCCAAATCCAGGGGCCTGCCGTGTCACAGCTGCCTAAGTTCTCGCATGTCGTTCCTGGCATCGCCATCCCGACGCCCACCGCTCCCTCCGTTATATCCTCTCGTGAAACCTCCCCGGTCCGGTCCTCTCGTCGCCCGCGCAACTCACCTTCCACCCCCCGGATCGCATCTCGATCACGAAAAGGCAGCGTCGACCGGAGTCCGAATCGTTCTGCCTCCAACACTACTACTTCGGGAGGGTCGGGCACCGTTCCCTCGGCCACAGCCATCCAGCGAGCATTATCCAAATCATCCAAGCCGCCAATCCTCAGCCCGCCTCCCAATGCCGATTCGTCTTCCGATGTGCCTAGCCCGGATAAGTCCACCATGCCATTGTGGGCCACTTCGCGACGGTCGGAGCCGGAGACCACCCAACCGAACACCTCGATCAAGCGCTCGACGCCCGGACCGGATGATCATGCGACGAAGACCGATCGAAGTGCCCCCCGGGCCGTCAACCGGGGAAATCATACACCAGGCTCGGCCCTCGAAACTGTGCAGGAAATGGCCAGTGATCAATCCACACCATCGACCGAGACTATCCTGGGGTTGCCGTTACGAGAGGACTCACAACTGCAGAAGATTGATGAAGACGCGACGCCCAAGGCCTCGAGAGTGCAGCATAATGAAAGTGGCAGTGACAGTGGTGGGAATAAGAGCTCGGAGCCGGTCGATAGCTATCGCCGTCATGCACCCTCGGGCTCCCGGGGTTCCAACAATACTATCATCCCGAAACGATCCACTACCTCACTGAGTGGAGGCCCTCGCGCTAAGCCGACCGATGGTTCGGTACGCAATATGATTGTTGAGACCGAAACTGTCAGCTCGATTCCTCAGGTTTCTCTCGGTGTGGTGCCGGGAGATAGAGGCAACACTGGCCGAGTGGATGCGGGGACCCTCCGAATGAAACCCAGTACCGAGACTATTCGGCCCAAGAAAGAGAAGAAGCGAACCCGGAAGCCGGCTGCGCTGACGACAAGCACGGCGTCGTCCAAGGCAGACATTTTTGAGGCGAAAGTAGCCAGTGCCGTAGACGAGGCCGATGTTTCAGACTCCGATGAGACATTCGTGTACGAGTCCAATCCCCCGGATCCGTATCCAGTTCGACAGAACCGGTATCATTCCCGGACCCCGAGCGCGACATCTATGGCTAGTCAGGTCGACCAGCTGGCCGGTCGGAGTCGAGCCGGGATCCGAGATGGGAACCACAGCGTTACGGGCAAGCGAAGCATGAAGTTTACCAATAATACCTTCACTAGCAACCCCGATGACTTTGGGGATGAGACCATACGCAGCCATCCTCGCGCCGATGGCAGCGGCACGCACACTCCCCGGCACCACCATATCGGGCGTTACGGCCGCAACAACAACCTTTATCCGTCCTTGTTCGATAGTGATTCGCCATTCCCTCAGTCTCAGGGCAGTGCCAAATCCCCCCGCCACTTTGTTGGCAATGCCTATCGACAATCTCGACACCCTGGATCACGCGCCAACCCGAATTATCGCACAATCAGTGGTAGCAAGAAGCCACACGATCTTTACAGCTATGATTTCGATGCTGAAGGCGCGGATGATGAACGCACTCCTCTCGTTGGCTCCCCCCGGGTAACACGAAGCCGTCAAAGCGGTGGGCGACGCCCGAACAGCGCCAGTCTCCGCCAGATGGAGTACATGCAGCAGCGCCATCGTGGGTTCTTCTCACGCTACGGCGCATGCCTCTTCATCACCGCTATGCTCTTGTTCGTTGTTGGAGCGATCACGTCTTTCGCCGTGATGACCACGAAGACACTCGTCGATGTGCAGGTGCTCGATATCCAGAATGTTCTGGCGTCCGAGCAGGAAATTATGCTGGACTTGAACGTGCAAGCCGTCAATCCGAATCTGTTCCCGGTATCTATCGACGACATGGATATGAACATATTCGCCAAGAGTCGGTTTGTGGGGACGGACAAATTCTGGCGCGAGCATGATCTTGATACGAGCCCATTCCCTCGGGTGGAGCGAAGCAGGAAAAAGGCGGAGATGGCTCGACTCGCTCGGTGTGCGAGCTCGGTCGGCTGTCAGGCGATTGAGACCGAATTCAGTAGTATGGCACTCGCTCGCGGCGGTGTGGACAAGGGCACTGATCCTATGCCCACTGATCCCGCGGGTGACCCCCAGACTATGTTGCTTGGTCGTGTGTTCCATTTTGACTCGCCGCTGCTGTTGGAGCCGTCGCCATGGCGCTATGAGCCGTCGACTTCGAAAGGACAGATACGTCTTGCTCGTCCCGGCAACAAGACTGAAGAGGGCGGCACAGAACGGTGGGAACGTGTGCTTCAACACCCGTTCGAATTGATCGTCCGTGGCGTGGTTAAATATCAACTACCCCTGACTTCGCGCTACCATTCTGCCTCGGTCAGCTCTAGCATCAAGGTCATACCTGATGACGGGGATGACGATGACGGAAACGGTGACCACAATCAAAGTCCCGAGGGCAACGGCACGGTTACAATATCGACGAAGAAACGTTTCTCACGCAGTTTGCGCCCTAACCGAGACCCTGCGAGCCCATTGGATGTTGTTCGAAACACGTTCCGTGTGGTGAAGCGAGCCTTCACGGCTTAGTTACGATTTCCCGATTTCTTCCCGGCGTTATGGGAGCTTGCAGCTCGAGCGTTCAGCGGTTCCCTCTTACCTCACTTTGCATTCTTCTTGGCAAGTTACGGTTCCGGTAAAATCTATGCAACTCATGGCCGCATACGATTTTGTTTTATCCTATCCTCCTTTGTGATGTTGGATCTGCTTTCTCTTTCCCCTTTGGCCCACTGATGTGTGGTGACCTGACATAAATCTATCGTGATTGACCCGGCGGCGGTGTCTTTTTGAAGAAGGAAAAAGACGTTTCATCTTATGTATGCATCAGCAACGGCGCTTCTATACACTTTTGGGATGTTGTTTTTCATTTGCGGCTCTTGTGTCCGATTAGAGTGGGGAGGACTTTTGGAGAAGGAGGAATGTTGAGAAAGAGACACGCGAGAAGGCAGATACAGGGGCCACACACCTACGGGCGTGGCGCAGGCGTCGCTCTCTGGTCTTGTCTTCGAGTTTTTGTGCTGTCTTGCGTGCCGGATTGGACATCCGTCCTCTCTCGCCCGCTTCCTTTCCATGTCTTATGTATGTATTCATGTATGGTCTCTCTTGTACATAATGTGTTATCCATCCGGTGCATTGAATTGTGCCGTTGACAGGTTTCGTTCTTGCTCTCGCTATTGCTGTATCTCTGAAATGGGGTATCCAATCAAGCCCATTGACCTTCGTAACCTGATATCATCCTCAGCAACATGACGCCACAGGTAGATCCGTGACCGATACCTCGAAGTACTGTGGAAAACGGATCGGCACCTTGCTGGTCCCCTCTAGTCTGAACGTGTAGCCATTAATGGCAATCCAGGGTCAAACATGTACAGTACAGTTACTAATGGTAGTCCAAACTCCTTTTTTTTTTTTTTTTTGCGTAAGCGGCACCCAACCATTGTCTTTAGGCCTGGATCATCAAATCACACTTTGGTAGTGGTTGGCACTGCACATGGACACTGCAGGCAGTCGTTTCCTTCTTTTTGGATTCACACTGCCAGTCAGTCTGTCGCCTCTCGTTGCCACCAATCTTTTATTTATTAGGATTCCCCCACCCATCCCACGGGACCGACGCCGGGCTGATCCAGTTCTGCGGCTGGAGTTGCGCGAGGAGTGGCTCGGGGATCCGCTGCATCGGAGGAAACGGCACGAAGTCACCGGGGGGGTTGATCAGGCCTGCGGTATGGGGGTCTAGCCCGACCAGCGATGCGAGGGCTTGTTGGCCGTGGGTGCAGGTTGTTTCACTGGATGGTAGACAATCAAAAACGATATGGTTAGCCTTGAAGGTATCCAGGACAAGTTTGGGAAAGAGCAAGTGCCCTTAGTCTTTCAGGGGAAGCTCCTCACATGATTTGACGCAGAACGGGCACGGCCTTGCTGCAGAAATTGCTACGGTTGGAGAGGGCGGCAAAGGTCTCGAGGGCGTCCCAGAGGATCGTCTTGGATTCATCGAACTCGAACTGGGTTTCCGGGGACAGGAGCGTCACGGAGAGGGCGACGGCCGCGTGGAAGGCGTGGAAGCTGCCGAGGTAGCTGTTGTACCACTTGTAGGAGGCGTACGCGGGCGACTCGTGGAGGGCTTGGTAGATGGCCAGCGAGGCCCGGGCGGAGGAGACGCTTTTGGTCCGCGCCGCATATGTCTCGGGAGTAAACTCGCCTTGCAAATAGGCGCAGAGACTGGGGCGGAAAAGGAGGAGAAGGAGCTGGTGAATGTTGCTGTAGAGGATGTTCAGGTTGGCCTGGTGTGGCGGCGAGGGGGGTTCGAGGCCGGAATTGAGCTTGTACCGCTGGTCGCACATCTCACGGACGGATTGGATCTGAGTCTCGAGTTGATAGGGGACAAACCTCGGGGACGTATTGAACAGCGCATCGCATACCATCATCAGGACTCGGTTGAGATGAGATTCTAATAGCAGGTACGTCATGTGCGTTGGGTGCGCCGGTTGTCCCGAGAAAGAACCCGTCAGCAAGTCAACATCGTTGATGTCTAAGGGCGTCTTCACATCGTTGGGTGTGATGGTGTTGTGAAGACAGCCAGAGACTATGCTCTGCACAGTAAATAGCGAGGTGAGCCCCATCCAGGCACGTCTGCGCTCCTCCTGCTCGATGAGTCCGAGATCGAATCGGCTGGGATCAACGTGGCAGCCCATGGAGATGGCTACATGATGCGAAAACCCTAGCAGAGTCCAGATGGGAAGACCACGGTGGACTCGAGCATAGTTGACGAGGATCAGAGATTGGAGTGAGTGAATCGAGTGTCGAGAAAGGACATTATCTGCTGCCAGGCATCGCAGTGAGGCCGACCGATAGCGTGCAGATAATGCCTTGATGTTTCGACTCGCCGTCTTCTCGCGCCCGATATCAGAGAGCAAAATCTCATCGTCTTCGAGTGCCGTGACAGCAATAGAAAGAATCGCAAACAGAAGCGCGATCCATGCGGGGGTGACACTGTTGGCGTCGTGGCAGAATTGTTGGTACTCGGTTTCAAAGGTGAGGTCGTGAAGAACGTGGAACAGCTGGATGTTGAGTTAGCAAGTCCCACTCATATGGAGGCTCTCGCGTCAAAGAGTTACAAGGCTGACAGTAAACATGACAACCACTTACAGGCGAGAAGACTCGTAGGTAGATGTCTTTGAGCGCATCGCAATATCGGCGGGGGGGTAGTATCGCTAACAGCTCATCCCGAGAAACATGATTCTTGGCGAATGGCAGCTGCAGATCATCGCTTTCGTCTGGGATTTCGGTCTCGACATTGGGTGCTGACTGGCCCCTGAAGATCGGAGGACTGTTCACCCACGGCAAGTAACGAACGTATCCGGCATTGAATGTCTGTAGAGTGCCTGCGCCACTGGGTAATCGGGATCTGAGTTCTCGGGATCTAACATCAAACGCAGGCTCATACTCGGCTCCACTTTCGGTCCCGCTGGGCGATCTCTGGGGTGACATAACGTCGTTGGACTGAATGTGAATTTGTTCGTGAAGCAACTCTTCGAGGCTATTGATTCGTGCAAGCATCTCATTCTGGTCAGGTGGAGCAGCCGTCATGGCTTGTTGGGAAGCGAGTCTCGGCTGACCCAGGTAAATACAGTCCTCTGCACCCAGACCACGACGAACACAGGTCTGACATGGACGCCCGTCACGAGAGCAGCGGATCTTCCTCGTTCGGCATGCCTGGCAGCTTATAGGCAGTCTCTTTCCGGTCGAGCGATTGGAGGTAGTCATGATGGCGCTGGAAATTTAACTCAGAATAAGAAGCTAGCGTTGGAGCTCACCCTTGCACATGGGTAAACTAGAACAAAGATATGCCGGAATGGGACAGAAGGCCGACGCAGCACCAGCCAATTTACCTTGTGAGTTTTATCAGAGTGCAGAACACAGCATTCTAAGTGAACGGTTCTAAGGACGTGCTGTGTGCTCTTTATATCGAGGTAATCTGTCTAGCAGCCCATGAGCAAGGAGTCTTGTACTGGGTTATCACCTACAATGTCCCTTTTCGGCATCGCCGGTCTAGTCGAATTTTTTTGGGCCGATGCTCAAGAACATGAATGCGCTGGCGTGGTGCTAATTCGACCGAGAAAAGTAAGAGAAGGAAGCTGCTTCACGGAGAATTCCGTCCCAGTGCGACCACGTTATTATCACTTTAAACTGTCGCGTCCGAATCGGTTAGATCGCAGCTTGCATCTAAAAATCTCTTCTGCTGCCTCCGTATCCATTACCTATAACTTCCGTACTAAGAGCCCCCGGTAAAGAACTCAGACTGATTTGGTGGTGGAAAAACTCTAGAAGCATACGCTGTTGACCAATCCGTGCTTGAGGAAGCCGAATCAAAGGGAAGACCCAACGCCTATGGGGGATGTGCGCGGAATGGCGATGACGTCTGCCAGCATCGATAGTGCGTCAAGTCGGGTCGACGGCATTATGGGGCTTGACCCTCAAACCGTCACAATCATTGTGTCCGACGAACTGTGGCTGGGTGCATACAGACTGAGTCCATTCCTGCATCACCGCCACAGAGAACCATGGTTCAGAATCCTCTAGTATAGTCATCCTAGCAAGAAAGGGGGTCGTTTTAAGACTAATCCGTAAATCTATTTATCCTTCTTGTCAATCATTGTTCTTGTTTGAGCTTGCTTTGCAGCAAAGGCCCATATTTCCTTCGAAAGTGGCTCCAGCCACACTTGGGGCCGGGGGGTGAGATTCGCTGCACATGGTGCTCTGGTCTGCTGTCAGAGTATCAGCAGCACCCACCATGCTAGCGTTTTGGCGAGTCCCAAACGAGATGGCGCCTCAAGTCTTGAAAATTGCATGGGTGGTTGAGCCACAGAATAGATTGAGGCGAGGGGTCAAAGCGGCAGTCATCATTCGATTGCTGACACGGTTGAGCCCCGTAGGGCACGTATGCTAGGTTCACGGTTCAAAAGCACCATGCAGGGATTATCGTGCAGACCCTCCTTGAACGGAAAATCCATAACAACTATTTTCATCATGCAAAGCGGGGTTCAGATCATGGTGATCGAAGCATTACTGGATTGCTCTTCTCTCAATTGCTGATAACAGCGTAAAGGTGATACCGAGCATCTAACAGGTGTAGCGTCCTTTCAAACTGCTTGGCCGCTCAAAGTAAAAGGAAAAAGAAAGCCGAAGACCGCAGTGTCCGAGATCCGACTTCGGCAACTCCAGATCTCGCGGGAATTTTTTCCAGTACTCCGTACTTTACACGGTTAAAGCGGATGAGACTGGCGCATCCGACTAGCGTATGAAGAACCTAGCTGAATGATAAAATTTTTCAGTGGATCCCTGCAGTAGCTTAGGGGCCTCAAACCCGGCGTTTACTAGATTAGAGGTTGGAAGAGGTTTGGATAAGGTGCCTGAAACCGATGGTATGACGGCTGTCATTCCATGGTTGAGAAGGAACTGGATAGCCATGTTTTTGATTTCCATGGGAATAATGATTCCGCAGGGACCAAAAACAGATTAAACCTCCTGGCGAGGCTTGCAGATACTCGTAGATCCAAGAAGATAGTGGTGGTGGTTGATGATGATGATAATGATGATGATGAGGATGATGAGGATGATGAGGATGAAAGTTGCAATTGTCACAAGGCAAGAAGCAGTTCCTCACGTGGAGGATCAGCTGGTTTGGGTGGTTTGTCCGCCCTCGCGGCCTCAGGTTTCATTTCTGCCCCTCCCTCTTTCTTGCTTGCTTTATCTGTGCTTCTTTCACTTCAAACTTCATCATCATCGTTCATCAACTTTATTGCATCCTTTCATTTTCCACGTTCCACCTTCTACATTTTCTTCCATACATGCTGCATGCTACATTGCGTTACACCTGGCACAAATTCAAGCACACTGAGCGGATGACGGATGACCAGTGAATCATTGAATGAATGCCCCGGCAAATCACCATTGCGGCCCGGCATACTTAATCTTTGGCGAGGGTTGAATTAACCCCTCCTTGGGTGCCCGTCTTCTCGCTCGGAGCAATTATCTTTGACCATCCCGCATTCTATTTCGTCTTTCTGACGACGGTGTACGTCTGCCTTGTTTCGTTCTCGAATCAAGTTGAACCTTCGTACAGCCATCCGCCGACGCCCGTCGATTGTTGACACTCGGCAGCCTCTCTCGTCAGCCTCGCTTACCCCACTTCGCTGCAGTCCCTCATCTTCTGTATTCTTCTTCTCAGAACTGCTTCTCATCTTTCCTTCCTCTTTTCTTGCAAAAAGCAACCTCCTTCTTCCCATCACTTCCCAATCACCTTTATCCATCTGAAATCGTATTACTTCATGTCATACGTCTACAGAGAGCGCGATCGCGAGCGGGACTGGGATGAACCCCGCTCGACCGTATCTATCAAGCGTTACGTCATCCCCTCGGAGGAGGAGCGTGAGCGTGAACGTGAGCGTGATTTCTTCTATCGCCATGAGGACCCAGCCGACCGAGAGCTGGTTATCCGGCGCACTCATGAGCGAGAGGAGCCGGTGATGATTCAAAGGTATGAACGAGAGGTTGACTACGACTCGCGCTCACTTGACTACCGCTCCGAAAGAGACTATTACGAACGTGAACGTGAGTATTATGTGCCCGAGCGCATTCGCAGTTACCCCGCCCCCGTTATCATTCGTGAAACTCAGCCGATAATCCTTCTTGAAGCACGCGGCCCCGTCTACGTCAATCCACGAGAGTCCGATTATGATATTGTGCGGCGGTCGGAAGTGGATCGCGAGCCTGGCGGCTATTACTATCATCGTCGTGTACGCGAGTGGGATGAAGACCGTCGCTCCCGACGCGAACTGAGCCCTAGCGACTCTGTCTCACAGGCTACCCGTCGTCGCGATGAAGAGGACTACAGCAGCGATGAGAGCATGGTCTACATTCGCAAAGAGACACGGGAGTACGATGATCATCCCCATCGGCGGCGGCATCTAGCCGAGGGTGCCCTAGTAGGTGTTGGGGCGGCAGAACTTCTTCGCAACCATCACAAGAAAGAAGGAGAAGAAGTGCCTGAGGGAGTTGGCCGCCTGGGGCGGGACGTGGGTGCCGGTGCATTGGGCGCCATCGCTGCTGAAGCAGTCTCGCGTGCAAGAGAGCACTATCGCAGCAAGAGTCGTCATCGCTCCCACTCTTTTGATGACGATCACAGATCACACTCCCGTCATCACCGCCGTCATCGTCATAGCCACAGTCGTCGAAGTCGCAGTCGCTCTCACTCCCACTCGCGCGCGCGGACGCTCGCGGAACTCGGCCTAGGTGCCGCTGCTATTGCTGGAGCTGTTGCCCTGGCACGAAACAAGTCCAATTCCAATAAGGACAGACGCAGTCGATCTCGTCACCGCCATGCTGCCAGCTCCACACGGTCGTTGCCGCTGAACAAAGATGGGGAGCGCAGCCAGTCCAAAAGTAGAAAGCATATGGCGGAGGCTGGCCTTGCTGGAGCAGCAGTGGCAGGCCTGATCGAGAGGGCCCGGAGCCGCTCCCGTCCAGGGCGACGTGATCGGTCTCGATCCAAGAGCGCAATCAGGAAAGCCCTGCCAGTGCTAGCGGCCGGCCTTGGGACAGCTGCGGCTACTGGATTATATGAGAAGAACAAGGACAAGAAAGAAGCCTCACGAAACAGGGAGCTTCGACGCTCACGATCTCGCAGCCGCGCCCCTTCAGAGGTTTACTCTGATCCAACGAAGTCCTCTCCTGGTCTGATCGAGTACGGAGAACGCCCAGTCCATGGTAGTATTCCTGCCAACTACTACGGTCGGCCTGGGAGCTCACATGGATACTACTCGGATGCATCTGACCCTGTTGCAAGTGGCGCAGCTGGCTTTGGATCAACAAGACGCCGGCCTTATAGCCGCAGTCGTAGTCGCAGCCGAGGCCGGGAAGCTCGCTACAGTAGCGATTCGTCAGACTCAGAGAGTGACAGCCGGAGAAGACGACGAGGCGGGCACGAACGGCATCGCAGTCGCTCGCGGGAATTCGCCGAGGCCGCTTTAGGAGCTGCAGGAGTCGGTTACGCAGCCCACAAGCTCGCGCAGCGTAATGAGCGCAAGAAGGCAGAGCGAGACAGAGACAGATCGGGTAAGCGAAGGTTGATTCTCTTGAGGTTTTCAAGTGCTGACCAATCATGAGCCAGATGAAGAAGCTGCGTACCAGCATGATCCGTATCCGTCATCTCCTGCTGCCCTTCGGCCGATCGACGATCATCAGTACTACCCTAATACGAATTACTTTCCTCCGCCGCCTGGCTCCGCGCCTCGCACGGAACCAGCACCTTACAACCCTGCCGATTATCCACCTCCACCCGGCGCCGTGCCACCGCAGCCGTATGCTCATCCTGCGCGTCCTGAGTCAGACCCGTATGCACCTCGGCCCCGAAGGGTAGAAGAGAATGTGAGTGCCGCATGGAAATCTCCCCATCACCCCATTACCCAAGATCGCATATCAGATGGTGGGTTCAGGGAAGGCTGCCTTGCATACAAAGGGGCCCTTGCTGACCTGGCATGTAGGTCTAGATGCACGATCATCGCTGAGAACCCCTCGCCCGAAAAAGCGACGACCCCGCGCGGCCAGCCAGCCGGCAAGGCCGAAATCGGTTGCCTTTGACCTTGAATCGGAACATGAAGGACAGCATGACCCCGGATACGAAACGGATGATAGTGACTCTACCATTGCATCAATACATGGCCATGGGCGCAACCGCACTCCACGTCGCCGCCACTCGTTCTCTGAGCCGTTCGCTGCACGTACACGGTCTGAAGATCGGTCCCGCAAAGACGGCGCGGAATCTGATTCCGACTCGACTATCGATTTGCCTGACCGGTTTGACTCGCAGGGACGCCTTTTATCCCAGCCCGAAGATGATCCTTTGGCGGACGGGTTGGAGACACTGCTCAGAGGAATCAACCGTGTCTTTGTTTAGCTGACTTTTGTGGTTTTGCTTTTGCGCCTTATTACCTTTCTTTGTTACGCGTTGTTTATCTTTTGCACTAATGTAGTAACGACGTGATGATCATGACAATCTCGGTGGTAAATGAATGAATGTTGATCAAGTCCGACGTCCGGCCGGAAGGATTTCCATGGCGTATGCAGGAGGGCGGTCACTGGTCGTCACCTGACGATCCGCCGATCTGATCATTTGCCTGAACTGGTGGCATGCATGAACCATAACCATGCGACCCAAGTACTGAGTATCAGAGGAGGTACGTAGGCTGCAGTGGTTGACTTTACTTACTTTGTTCCCTGGATATGGTGGAAGTGACCCAAACCCGGCCCCCTGTTCACATTCTCATCCCATCGCGAAAGAACTGCCGGTACATCTGATCCACATGATCGTCAGGAGTAAACTTGGAGCCAGCGCCAACCTAAGTAAGCCGTAGACGGGACGGATGGCATGTCCTCCTCCCCGCCCCCATCAACAGTACAGTACATATCACAATGTTATAGGTCAGTTTGGATCCAGCTATAGAAGGCGAAGCCTTCTTTTGGAGGCGGGCGTTCTTGTGTTCCCCTCGTAGTGATATCAGACATACGTCCGGAGGTCGCCTCGCGCCCTTTTTTTGACATGCTTTGCACTTGGAGGTCTTCCTTTGCTGCCTATCTGTCTTTCTTCAGGGACAGGAGATGCTTGGTATTGGAGAGAAGATGCATCGTTGATGCGAGGGACAAACGGCCAGGCCAGGGCCGGTTCGTGGAAGTCGAAGCTTGAACGTACCATGAGGATTGTGTTTCTTTTGGTTAGCACTGTCTTCTCGCTTTCTCGGTCCAAGGCACATTTCCCACAAGACGTAAAATATCCAGCTGGTTGCTACAACATAACAAATGGAATATTTCCTGGGAACCAGATGAGAAGGAGTTCAATAGTTTTAGACGGTGAGCGGTATAGACACGCGATATTCTCTGGATCTTCTCGTTGCAGGAATCTAGACTTGTTTTTCTACGCCTGGTATCTCTATCCTTCGTAAACAACCTCCACCCGCTGAGAATGGGGCTTCGCATCCGGATCCCCTTCGCCTTGCTCGCCCGCCGCGACCACCTTGTCGCCAAACGACGCGGCAATCTCCTCCAGTGTCTTGCGTTTGGTCTCCCTATTACCCGGCCCGAGCACGTTAGTCATATCGTTTTCGGTATTTCACTTTCGTCTTCACAGGAAGGCAGAAGAACAAGCTCCTGGAGAACGACTTACGGGAAGTAGAGATAGGCGATACCCAAGAAGAACACAGTGCAGGCCACGAAGACGTAGTAGTAGTTCTCGTGGATATTCGCGAAGGCGCTGGGGCCGGCTTCGGTGACTTATCATGAATCAAGGATACCGGTGTCAGTAAATGTTCTGCGGAGCTTTGTGCGGTCTTGTCGTAGCCAAAGAGGGGGTTGGGGGGGGGCGGGGGGATATCCTACTTGCGACGTTGACTATAAAGTGAGATGCTGCGGCCAGTCCCATGATCTTGCTACGAAGCGCAATGGGCAGAACCTCGGCGCCGTATAGCCAGGTGGTACTGTTAAGCATGCCATCTGTACAGGGTCGTGAGTATTATAGATTGTAGATATGGATTGCGTTCGTCTGCGGGACATACAGTAGACCACCACGAACAGGTAGATTCCCAGGATGGCAAAGCCTTTCCCAACTCTATTGTTCGTATTCTGGAATTCCCGCTGCATAACAGCGGCATATATCTCTATGATGATGATTCCGGCGAGGCCGGCTAGGATCATACTTTGTTTGGTCAGTGTTTAGGGTGGCTGGAATTTTGTGGGTTCGGTTGGGCTGGAGACATACTTGCGACGACCCCATTGATCCGTGAGGTACTTTGTGGTGAGGCAATTGGTTATAAACGCGACGGTGCCGTATACAGCAGCTAAGGCCAGGATGGTATGGGAGTCGATTCCGAGGGATTTGTAGAGAGTTGCTGGTTCAAGACCATCAGTATTCGTCATTGGAGGGGGAGTATGGGCCGGTAAGAACACGCACTTTGGTAGTACTAGGGCTCTATTAGCATCATATCTCCATCAGGCTTGTGAGAGACATACCTGGATGACGTTCACGCCGGTAAGACTCGTCATTGTCTGCACGGCAATCGAGCTATTCGACCGAGTCAGTGGAGTCAAGCCTTCCTCGTATATCTTGCACATGGACCTACACTAATGCGCGTCGTCGAAACATGCGGAAGATCTCTTTATAGGAGGTTATCTCTCTCTCCGTCTCGTATTGGATTTGCGCGACCATCTCCAAAAACTCCTGGTGAGCCTCGTCCGGACGTAAATCCCGTCGGCCTTTGATGAACTCGCTGCGCGCCTTCTCAATCTGACCTACTCGAATCAAGTGGCGTGGAGAGTCGGGCATGAAGGTGACCAGTCCGGCGAACATGATGATACCCCACGGGACTTGAATCGCCAGAGGAACCCTCCACTGCACCTGACCATATGGTGCATAGCTACAGGCGTATCCGACCCAGTTCGAAGCCATCGTTCCGAATGCGATGCCGCAGCCTGAGATACCCCCAATCAAGCCGCGATAACGAGGGGATGATATCTCGCTAAGATATATCGGGACTGTAGCGACCATTCCGCTATCAACGCCATGATCAGTTCCGTCCTCGATTGTCGGTTCACGTGCCCGAGTACGACTCACCCAACAGCATAACCGGCCAACAGGCGGCCAGCAAGGAACATTCCGATATTTACAGCCGCAGTCTGGATGACTGTTCCGATGGTGACAACAATACACGACAATTCCATAAATCGGAGTCGACCTAGTTTATCTCCGATTGCAGTCTGAGTGAGCGCACCGACTGCTTCGCCAGCGATGTACACTGACACAACCTAGACGAAGATTAGATATAGAAGTCGAAAAAGGTCTTCCTGACTTACGGCTCCTGTCAGGCCATTCGACGGGTGGTTCATGTAGTCAATCCAGCTTTCATGGGCGATTGCTGAAGAACCGTTAGCTGTTGTCGTAGAGGGTCGCACCACTGGGGTCTCTCACTTGTCGTAGCGATGCCTGTGTCAAACCCCTAGAAATGGCCTATGTTAGCGACAAGACAGCCCACAGACGCGACGCAAGCCTGCCTTACAAACAAGAACGTTCCGATTGCAGCAAATATTGCCACACCGAAAGCATACCAGACCGCCATTTTGTCACAGAAAAAGGGATTGAAGCCGAAGAGAGACTAGTATCACGCATATTCGAGCGTGCCAGCGAAGAGGTGACGCGTGAAAGTGCTGGCGTGCGGATATATAGCTGCACGGGCATGAGCCGAGGGTGTACTTGTACGACGTCAACGTCGACTCGGAGGATGGCCGAGCAATGACGACCAATCCGGGGTATGAAGTTGGGGAAGCGGGCCAGAGTTTGATGACCCCGTATTCTGTAGATCAGACTTCAATCATGCCAGTCGCAAAGCCGCCAGTTTCCCCGCATTCGACGGAAAGTATGGCTTGGAGTTAGTTGTTCGGTAGTTGATGGCCCGAGAGGTGATGTTGCGTGTCTTGCATCGTGGTAGAGACTTTGTTGTGGTTTCTGTAAGAGATGAGTTCAGAATGATATGATGGCAGGATAGAAGAGCATTTGTTAATAACGACGATGGCGGGTTCAAGGGAAGTCATGAAGTCACATCTGCAGATAAGTGCATGGACAATCGAAGTAGCGAGTGGGCCGATGGATAAATCCCTTGAAATGCGGGGGATCCCATCCCGCCCCCCGTGACAACCTGGATTGGCGTGGGGGTGACTGGATTGATCCAACATAGTAATTGCCATTAGAATGAACTTTGGTCTTACCATCAACTGGATATTTCTGGTGAGAAATTGTGGTAGACACCATAGTCTTACTCGCACGCAATACTTATGCTCTCGATTGCAGAGAATATATCCTGTGGTCAGGATGCCCAAGAAGAGCAACATACCGTGCCAGCGCAGTAAAAGACCTTTACAGCAACCTCCACTTGGAGTATAAACCAAAGGCCTAGAGTCTCACCAGCCTGAAGCAAAGAAGCAATCTCTACGAGTTCTCAATAATACTTTCATAACATACACATGTACTGCCCACCTGCAGTTCATAGAGTACCCTCAAAACATCCCCCACTAAACCAAAACCAGATACCACCCGAATCCAGTCTAGCGCACGAAACAAGCGAGGCTAGCAGCACTAGCGTCCTTTCGCCTCGGAGTCTTCCTATAAAAGGTCCATCCGCCCGGCACCCTTTTAGGATTTTTTCTTCTTTTCTTTTCCAGCTCTCTTTGCCTTTTGGCTTAGATCAAGTGTAGTATCTGTTCTTTTCAGTTTAATCTCTGAAAGTGTTCTAAGGAACACAACATTGATTAATCTTATTTTTGTACCCTGCAGTCTGACCTCTGTGCTTGCGCATGTTGGACTGCACAGTGTCATCGGGCCTACACTACCCCCGATCGACGCGAACCCCCCTTTTTTTCATCAATTTGGCCGGCTTGTCCGACTGGTTGGAGAAGGAAGTTTTCTTAGTAGTACTCGGTATCTTTTTGTGTCCGGTAGTGGGTGAATCCTGCGAAGTAGAAGTGCTCTTGGTTTCTCGTTGTCAGTGTAAGCTGTATCTTCGCCCGGGTAGATCGTCTTAGTGGTTGCGAGGCCTGGAGGCACGAGTATGCGATCAACCATTCCATATCATACTCTCATAGATCTACAAATGCTGCTACGCAGGATCAGGAACACGCGGGTAATTTCGTCAAGAGACTCGTCAACTAGGAGTCATATATTCTTTTTTTCTTTTGAATATGAGGACCCTATTTCATTTTCCATTGCCATTGTCATATGCCACCGCCGGATTAGCAATGCAGGAAACCCAGAGCCGAACAAGAAAATCGCAAATCTAGAAGACAAGAGCAGCACCCTTGGTCTTCTTGTCACCACTGTTGGTCGAGATCGATTAGCATCTGCTGAGAGGAAGGGCGCGAAGTCAGGCGGAACATACCCAAGCTCGAAGTGCTTGCAGCGCTTCAGGGAGAGCTGCTTCTTCTGCTTGCAAGCAGTGCACTCAAGACGGAGGACGATCTTCTTGGTAGTCTTGGCCTTCTTGTGGAAGACGGGCTTGGTCTGACCACCGTAACCGCTCTGCTTCCGATCATAACGACGCTTACCCTGGGCGAACAGGGAGGCCTAGAGGGAGATCACAAATTCTTGCGTCAGTACGCCGCTCGTGTTCGAAAAGTTTCCTCAGAGGCGAGGCGGGGTGGTGCTATTCACCTTGCCAGCCTTGTACTGGGTGACCTTGTGCTGGGTGTGCTTCTTGCACTCCTTGCCCTTGCAGTAAGTCCGGCGGGTTTTCGGAACGTTGACCTGAATTCGAGAGAAATAATGGATCAGCCTCTGCGGGTGAAGAGATGTCACTGGACGGCAAGTATAGTGTGTTCCCGGGTGTCTTTCGTGGTCTTGTCGGTCGGCGAGTGGCGCGGCGTTGAAATTGGGGGATATCGAGCATTGATCGCTGTATTCAGGCAATAGCGAAAACTTTTTGGCATATCTTTCTTGTTGCAGGCCGATACTCTCGTCCGGATCACACAATTTCGTTCGATCGTCTCACGCCACAAATTGTCACTTCGAAATTGCCATGTCGGATGATTCTTCATTGCCGGCCATTTTTGTCATCTTCTTGGGGGTGCCATAACTGTCGGTCGCAGGCGATTCGTACGGGCTCGTAGCTGGGAATCCGTCCATCGGAGAAGTTTCGAATATCGCCATCTCGCCCTCCCAACATGTGCCGATTTGTCGAACAAAAATTCTCGGACGCCCGGGAACACGGAAACAAAGGTGAGAAATCAACAGGACAACATCCTTACCATTTTGACTGATTTGGCCGGATCGCGAACTTGGTGGTCGTTGATAGTCTCTTGTCGGGGAGGATCAAGTCGGGCTGGCGGCGGTGCGGTGGGTTGTGGGATTTCGTTCGCTTAGGGTGCGGCCTAACCGCGTTTGTGTGTCAGCAGCCAAGACTGACTATCTAGTGCCTCAGGCAACGATACGTAGTGGCTGTCGGCCCTCTTCCGCTTCGTTATCATTTCAATCCTAAGGTATGAAACAGACCATAATAACAGCCTCAATCAATAACTTTACGGGAAGGTTAGCAACCTCTATCGGAGTCTGCTTCATGAGTCTCTATCTCAAAAGCCTTTCCCTACGTAGGCACACTCTCCGCCGCCATAGAATGACCTCCCAATACAGATTTCCAGCCCTCGCTCCTGTCCAACGACCCACTCGCCTTTCCGAGGTATGGGCTCTCCTCGTTCACGGGGCCAATATTCCGCCCGGAGCCTCTCATTGATTGACTCAGTCTTCCTAATCAGTAAGGCAACTTGATTGGTATCGACCTTTTCTACCCCGTCTGGACCAGGCCTCTCCAGCAAGAACCCCTCGCGAGTAATGAATCGTGCGATGGTAATATGCGCCGACGGCGCAATGTACCTGGGCTTCATCGGCAGTCCGATTGCCGCAATCTGCGCGGAGACGTCTCTTCGTAGATGGTGATACGTATACTGCTCGTTCTGGTATTCTTTCTCGTGGAAATGGCCTATCATGTCTCCGCTAGCTTCAGGGACGAAACTCAGCGCCATTGCCGTCGCATCGTAGCTAATCACCGGCTTGAATAGCCGAGGGCGATGATGAAAGGTGCAGTCCGTCAACTGCGGGATGATCCCACTGCGCTGCAGACGAGTGACCAGGTCATCTATCTCTGGCTCCGTCCGGCAACTAGCGATCTCCAGAGTGGTCATGTGTAGATAGTTTGGAGGTGTAAACCAGAGGCCTAGCCAGCGTTGCATACTCAAATCAGTATTCGTACTCGGCGACTGAGCCTAGGGATACTCCAAAGGGTGGGCGTAAGCGGCAGGTGGGTGGGATGCACGAACTTGGAGCAACATCCCCGATCTCTCGTTGGATCTCAGCCACTAGGTCTCGAATATGCTGCGGTGGACGAGCGAGAATGGTTAAGCTGTGTCGGGGGTCAATGAACGGTGCTGTCGCAGTGCTACTCTGTTCATCATTGTTTGCTTCTTCGTGCAGGCGTGCAAGAATATCGTCGACCTGCCAGCCGGAGAAACTGGGATCGAGCAGCCGTTCCTTTTGTTGGACGTTTCGGTTGGTTCGATGTGCTTCGTAGTGAGCTTGGATTTGTGTCTGTCAACAACGGATCAGTGTGCCTGGTTCGAGGCTCTAGCCATGGAAACCTCCTGGGCGAATACCGGGTCATTATGGCATTCCGTAAGGAGTCCATTGAACGGGTTGGATGTTTGGTCGGTGGTACTCATTTTCTTGAATCAAGTATAGAAGGTGAAGAAAGGCAAGTCTAAATAGTGAGTTGCGTTGGAGCTTACGAAGAATCGAAACTGTAGGGATGGATCGTTGGGTGCCACTCAGTGCCGCTAGTTGCTATATATAACAGTCTAGTCTACAAACTTCAGCACAAGGCCGGCAAAGGTCGTTGATAATATGCTCGAGCCATCCTCTCTTCATTATCGTCATTCCAGTATCCATCAAACAGAATGGCTCCTTACTGACCACTCGTAGGAAAGTGTCAACGATTTGACAAAGAGCAGAATCCCTGTGTAGCTGCTGGCTCTTATGAGTATCCAATGCATTATGATTGTTGCTCTCGCCGGGCCTCTTCCCCTTCCCAAGTCCGATGCCCCACCAGAAAGCGACCCCGCCGCGGCTTTCCGTCACGGAAACAGCCCTCCTCCATCTTGAGTTACTGCTTACTACCCCAACTCACCTCGCATACCCGGACAGGAGTCTTCTTGCGCTGCGCGATCGCAACAATCCTCCACTACAACCCGATCCTCCACCATCAGACCGTCCGCACTCTCAAAATGTTGATCAAGTGAGTGAGCCGGCGGGGCGCCGTCGAGCCCGGGCCCGACATCTCCACTCCCAAAGCCCATGACGCAGAGGGAGGAAACAACAAGCCGCCGGGGGCATCGGTCGTGAACCAAACCCAGCTAACCATCGCATTTCCGCTGCAATATAGAGTCCGTACCCTCACCGGCAAGGAGATCGAACTCGACATCGAGCCCGACTACAAGGTACTTACCTACCTAATTCTTCTTACATCCCTCCTCGGCGTGTCTGTGATTCCGTGCGTCGCCGTGTAACGGTGAAGACGACGAGGCAACCAGCCAGCAGACCATCAGCCCAGACTCTCCTCCACGAGAACAATCTCGAAGCTCTCATAAAAATAACGGAAACAACAACTAACCAATCTCCAAACACGTGCAGGTCTCCCGCATAAAAGAACGCGTCGAAGAGAAAGAGGGCATCCCCCCGGTCCAGCAGCGACTGATTTTCGGTGGCAAGCAGATGTACGCCCTGCCCTCACTCTCCCTCCCTCCAACACCATAATCCAAGACCCCGGGAAAAAAACTCACCCGTGCTTCAAAAAACAGGGCCGACGACAAGACCGCCGCAGAATACAACCTCGAAGGTGGCGCCACACTACACCTGGTCCTTGCGCTTCGTGGTGGTCTCTGAACGAAAAAAGGACTGGAGGAAAGGAAGCGAAAGAGAGAAACTGGTTGGTAGCTGTGTGCATGGATAATAATACATCGGTCCTCCCCCGACAGGTTCTATCATCGTCATCGTCGTCATCAACGTCACCATCATACTCATACTCATAATCATGCTCATCTACTCCATTTTCACGCTTCAGGACTGGTTTCCTGGAATGAACATCATCATGGCCGTCTTTTTCAACCCCACAGGCGTATAGATACGAGTCGCGTATATGTCGCTTTCATCCGTGGACTAGCACGATGTTAAGATGTGGCGTAGCAGAAATGCAGTAATACCCCCCTCGTTAAAATCTATGCGGTGTGCGAAGCGCGGTTTCTAATGGACTGGAGAAAGGGTGGGGTTTGGTCGTATGGAAAGGGCGGCTGTGGTTGACAGGTTTGCTGTTGTAGTATGGCCGGGGAAGAAGAATTATATGTGGATCAGGGCCGCAGTGTAGCAGAGGATGTATTAGATTCATAGACCACGTACGAAATATAAGTCCAAACCAGTTCGCCTCAAATCCCAGTCTAGATTTGACCACCACCAGCAGATAGAAAAAGCTCATTACGCCGAACCTAAAGCCAACCAAGTCTAAGTGGGCTTTGGTGGAGAAGAACAAAAGGAAGACAAATAAACGCAAATCATGGGAATGGTATAGGAGCAAATAGAATGACGGTGAAAAAGATGCGAGTATACCGGGCCTTACTGAAAGCCACAGCACGGCTCACGTCCAAGAGTAGTAACTATATGGCTCAAAGAAGGGCTCATTGTCCAACGATCATATACCGACTTATATATCAGTTCAACCTCTCTTCTTCTTCGGTTGGAGGAAAGGATTAGCGGGCGCAGGTCTTTTCCGAACTATAGGAGGACGGGGTCCAGACGCGGTCAAATCACCCGCATTTGTCTATAGCCTAGTCAGTCAAGACCCTAGAACAGAGAATTCAAGTCAGGATCGCAAGGAGGGGGAAACAAACTGTGGGAGGTGATGCCGCCGCTCCTGGGCGTGTGACCCGCGCCGTGTTGGTCTCTAAAGCAGGCGAACTCCCCAGGGTGCCCACTGGTCGTCCGGAGGCTATTGCACGGAGCCGAGCTTCTCTATCCCGGAGGGTGGAATTTACTGCTAGGTTAATCTGGCCTGCAGAGACCGCAGCGCCCTGCAGCCGTGACCGTCCGGGTGCCCTCATAGCTAGGGCTACGTTATCTCGTCGGCGGGGGACGGCAGGCTCGGCAGGACGCCGGTGTTCCTCAACCAAGGACCGTGGAGCCTGTCTGACCTGCGAAGCTCTGTTATTGAGCTGCTTTGTTGGGATAGCCAGCACACTATTGCGCTTCGTGGCCGTGAAAATGCTGTTCTTCTTCTTTGTCTCCCGTGGTACGGAGGGTCGTTCGAATTGCCAGGCAGGCGCACCTACCGGATCCGAGGAGCCCAGCCCAGTCCTCCCGGGAGTGAATACTGGTTTGATGCCGCCCATCTTCCGATCGTAGGAAGCGTAGCGCTGCTTCGCAGTCGGCCTCTGGCCGGGGAGGCGCCGGTCCGTGATGAATTTGGCACTGTGCTTGGCTCTTTCGGAACTGATCCCATCCAGCGCCATCTTCAGTTTCTCTGCATCCTCATCTACTGCCCGTTGCACTTCTTCCTGAAGCTCGCGATATACGTCATACCAGCAATCTGACTTCTCGGGCACGGCATCCCTGTGCGATTCTGGAATGTCCCGCTCGATGAATTCACGCCATATTTCTTCGTCATCGCGCATGAGATGAGGCGACTGGATTTCCAAAGCTCTCTGCAGAATAATGGGCGATCGGTAAGTCTAGAGCCTTCTTCCTATGGTCCGGCGGCGATGTTGCGACTCACCAGTTTCTCGGGACTCTCCACCTTGAGGAGGAACGGACGAGCAAGGGCATAAGGAATGTTTCCAATATCATTGAGGTCTAAGTAGCACCAGTATCAGCGAGCGATCAGAGATCTGAAAGTTGACTCAGGGCCGCGACCCACGTTTGACGTTCCTGATCGCAGTTGCCGTGCAAAGCTGGAGTAATGAGGGCGGCGGCATTGTCTGTCAATCAGGAGCAAAATCATATGATAACCAAGTTCTGGGTATGAGATGTTTATCACATATGACCAGAATGTGAGAGTCGAATGTAGAAGACATATATAAAAAGAAATCTTAAGAGCCTAAACCACCATTGTGAGAGCAGCTCTGACCCATTGGGGTTCTCTGTATGGGCCTTTTGTCGAGCCCGAAGGCGGATGACTACCAGGCAGTGACTCCAACTCAGATCATACACCGTGGACAATGAGCTCATTGGCCCAGTCAGGTGAATAATCCTGACGTACTGCCGGAAGACACCGCCTGCGATGATGCCATGGGCGGTGTGTGCTGGCCACTGCCTCGAACTCCCCTCCTTCCTTCACGTGCTGATACTGTACTAATCATTCAATGCAAACCATGCAAATTGCCGTCCGATAGCATCATATCTGGTGAGGGGGCAGAACAAAGCAATTTACCCAACACTACAAAAGAACATTCTTCATACTCAAATCTGTGATAGCAACGACCTGAAAAGACGTCCATACAATAAAGGTCAGTCTGTCAATGCCTTTGTTAGCTCTCCCCAGAAGTGCCTTAAGAGGATCCCGGAGCTTGAGCTTGTTCAGAGCTCTCCATTCTACAGAGCATCGAGTTCTCTAGTGCGCTGCCTGTCATCTCCCCGAGCTTCAGCCCCAAAAAGGCCTGACCAGTGGATACCCTCAACAGTGTCATGGTCTCTGCAACATGCTAGCATCTGTAGTATACCGATAATCATTTCTAATATCTACATAGATCATTCGTCATAATGGCACCCCGCTCTCAACTAGAGATCGCTACGGCATCTGTCCAGCGCTTGATCAAGGAAGAAGCGTCCTATCACCGCGAGCTACAGCAGCAGACGGAGAGAATCCAGAAGCTCGAGTCTGGCGAGGGTGGTGACGATGAGAACAAGGAGTGGACTCTGAAGCAGGAGGTCTGTACCGCCAACAGATCCCTACGCAAGTGCTGCCACTGACAGTCCTCGTACGACAGCGCCTGGCCCTCGAGGAGACCAGGAAGGTCCTTCCGACCCTGAAGCAGAAGATTGTGGATGCGATCGCTAAGCTTGATCAGTTGCTGGTACGCTGTTCGCTAATCTTTCGATTGATTCTACAAGACTAACTAGCCCTTTACAGATTGAGGAGGGCAAGAAGGGCGCCGAAAGCAATGTCGAGCAGATCAATGCTGCCAAGGAGGCTATCTCCCAGGCCAGAACAGCGGAGCGAGAGATCTCGTAAACCCACTGTTACTAGTTCTGTCTATGCATAAAAGCCCGCCTCGGCAATTATTGTAAAAGTACAACATGGGAAAAGAAAGCAAAATTGCTGTAAATAACAGGCACCGTGAATCCAAACGCCGCCAATTAACTCCGCGCTTAATGTTGGCTCATAAGAGCTTCCGACCATCAAGTAGTATCCATTCTATCTGTCCGATCATCCTGCTCTTCTCCCTCTTCCAGTTCTTCTTGAACCTCGCCCTCGTCCTCCATCGTGGTGTCCAGATCAGGCGAGCGTTTCTCTTCGTCACCCGGGACCGTCACTTGCCGCAAGGGTGACGCCGCACCGGTTGTGCCGGACCTATCCACTTGCAACCCAGCTGACAGACGACCGAGCTCCTCGGGGCTCTGATGCGATGAAGCCAGGCTCTCCGAGTCGTGCCGAGGCGTGTTGGCCCCGCTCGATTTGCCCTTGGACGGTACGTCGCCGTCATCGCCGTCCTCCCCTTCCTGCATCCCCTCCCGGCGCTCCACTTCCTCCTTCTCGTCGCGAATTAAGCGACGCAGCTGCATGCCTTCTTCGACGATGCGCCCGAACTGCTCCCGGCGCTCCGCCCACGTCTGCGCGTATTCCTTGCTTTCCTTCTCCAGATCGGTGATCTCGGCCTGCAGCTTCTGCAGGTTGGCCTGTTGGTCCTCGCGCGGTTTGAGGAGGCGATTGCTGGTGATCCTGTCCGCTAATTCATCGTAGCTTTTCCGCAGCGCCAGCAGCCGCTGCGCCTCCTCCAGCTGAACCCGCAGCTCGGAGGTGTTGTCGCGAACGGACTGCATGGTGTCCAGGATCCCCAGCTTCTCGGTTGCGTACCGCTCGCGTTCCTTCTCGTTACTCGTGAGGAGGAACTGGATGCGCGCGATGCTGATTTCGAAGGCGGCGAAATCCAAGGCGACGTCATCGCGGAACTGGCTCCAGTGCTCGTGCCGTTTTTGCTTCTCGGCCTCCGCAGCTTCGTCGTCCATTCCATCCGGCGGAGGCGTCGGGGGAAGGGTTGTGTTCGAGACGAGGACTGAGTCGTTGTTCAGGAGACGCTTCGAGATCCGCTTGAAGGGCTTTTCTTCGACATTGAGAAGGCGTGACTTGTGGAGTCCATCTGCATGAATTAGCGAAAGTGTCAGTGGATGAAGATGAGAGTGGTGGGTTTTGGAAGGTGAGAGGGGGAAAGAATTGATCTGATTTACCTTCTTCCAACTGATCGAGTAGCCCATAAGATGTATAGGACGCCATTGTGTATGAAGCCGCAAAAGGACTGTGACTTCTAGCCCAGTATTGTTGAGCAGTTCGTGGAGGTGTCGGGGAAAAAGCCGATGCGGCGGCATCAAGTGAGTGAGTGAAGCGGGCGGCAGGGATCCGCGCCAAGCGGAAAGCCAACTTTCCCTCTTTCCACCCGGCCGGCCTTTTTGCTTTCCGCATACTTCGTTGTTTTTTACTGCTACGCATGCAACCTCAGATAGACCTGCGCTTTACTTGACTCAATTTCACTATACTCTAGCATTAAAGCTGGCTCAATCTATCGGTGAGACTCAAATTGAATGCTCTCGAGCTGTTGTCAGAAGTGCTCTCTGATGGGCATCATGGTCTTTTCAGAGTATGCGAGGTAAGTCCATACATGGCCAACTTTAGTATGCAAGCAGCGCATTTCGAATAAGAATAGCAAAAACTGATGTGATGCTCGACAGGCTTCGACAAAGTACTACGCATGTACTGTAGTTGCCTTGCCTTGGAAGGACAGCTTGGACGCTGTCGGAACGGATGGCCATGGCGCTAAGCTCCACTTTATTGAGCTTAAATCATCACGGCCCATTGCGGGTTCCAGCGTACAGTACTTGCAAATGCATGTTCAGAGGCTAAGCTCCACATTCTACTGTTCATATAGGGTCACGCGTGATCCTGTAAGTGCTACAGGAGAGCAGTTACAGAGATCTTGAACGACTGTGCAGTTGCTCCCCGAGCACAGGAGCAGTTGTCAAGTATACTATGGGCTGTGTGATACATTTGTGACCCTATATGACTTGGACTTGTTCATCAAGAGGAATTCAAGGCCGGCCTCTTGTGATGGATGCATCGTTCGGACTTCTGTGCGGAGGTTCTCGCTATGTCCAGCCCTTTGGTTTGCTGAGTCACGAGGAAGAGCCCAGTTTCGAGCTCGAAGGATAGCTGAATCTATGGCTCACAGCGTAGCGGCGACCAGAAACGACTTTCCTTGTACACTTTCGAGGTTTAGCAGGCACGCTTATGCTCGTCTGACCTATCTCGGGTGCTGCGCAAGAGGATTCCCGCCGATGGACATGGGACTGAGTTGAGACTCGGGCACAATATCATGCCACCCGAGTTTCTGCAAGCTAATTTCGTGGTGGCTAGTGCATTGATGTCAAATCTAGGTGCGTCGCCCAGTCACTGCCTTCTTCCAGATATGCTGTCCTCAGAAGTCATCAAAACAATGTGCCGCTTAATATTGAAAGACCTGTGAATCCACTTTCATACAGTTTCTGCCCATACCTAGGAATCGCTCAGGTATCGGTACCATTTACGCCAGGACAAGCAGTATCATGCATGGACCAACTATGATCCAATTCGAATGCCTTATTTCCCGAGCCTCCCGCCTGAAGCCTGTGATGATGATTTGCATATCATGAATCTCAGAATACCCGGAATGATATTGATAGCGAAATGCAAGGCACAGCGCCTGTGGGTCCTCAAGCATACGGGACTGGTATCGATCCGACCTACGTAGATCGACTACTTGTAGTCAAAGCTGTTAGTTGGGTGCTAGAGCAAACAATGTAGTCAGATCGCTTACACAAAGGCGTGCATAGCTGGAGAGAATGTGTGGATCACCAACTTTATCGGCCTATGCTGACAAAATGGCTGTAACTTCAAGCTGGGGAAGAGAGATGGTTTTATAATCCAGTACTTGAATTATGATGGATTGTACTCAATAACTTCAGGTACCTTGATGCCAAGACCGAAGCAGCAAGCTAAACCCGATGTGGTATTGCGTTGTCACCTCCACAGAAGAACCTACCTAACTGGAAGGTACTGACAGACGGACGACGGATTACTACTGCAATTGAAACAATCAACTAGTATTATCTTTCCAACCCCCTGGTTGTTTTGAACACTCCCCATGCTCCCCATGCTCCCCATGATTTTGACTCTACTACTTGCTTTTGATTACAGGCCCGTCGAGGGCTCCTGATAATCTCTCTACCCAGCCTGCTGCCTGTGCATGATTTCTCTAAACACTCTCCCAAATAAGAATCTATTGATTTATTTATTTAAATTAAGCTTACCTCCGGCCCCCCGATAGGAAAAAAGCTGGGGGAAAAACTGCCGCAGTACGCGCGAATGATGCCGAATCGACTAGCGCCAGCTTACACACTATTACTATTCTACTAAGAGCCTGAGGCAATTTGAGTCTTACTGATGGACTTTTCAAGCCAGACATCAGAACATAAATCTTCATTGCACTCTTTCTCGTACCCGCGCCATCGTGATGGCGGAGATGTACTCGGGGCTCCACGTGGGCCAGCGGTTCGGCTCGCTAGAAGAGTTCAAGGCACTGGTACGGACCATCTCCGTGAGGCAACATTGGGAGCTCCGCGTCACAAGAAGCAACAAGAAGAGCGTGGTAATAGGATGTCGCTCATCAAACAATTGTTTCTTTCGGGTCGTCTGTCGTGCAAACAAAAACGCGATCTATATTAGCAGTCTCCAAGACAGTCATAACTGTCGACGCAATGCGACCCCCACATCAAGAACACCGGCTCGCTCGGAGGCTTCGCATGTCCGGTTCCTCCTTTCGGAGATCCCCAAGCTTTTTGATATGAGCCATAAAATCAAGGCCCAAGATGTTGTCGAAGCCATAAAGCGATATCACGGATACGACATATCCATGCGACAAGCGC